AGAAAGAAAGAAAGAAAGAAAGAAAGAAAGAAAGAAAGAAAGAAAGAAAGAAAGAAAGAAAGAAAGAAAGAAAGAAAGAAAGAAAAAAAAAAAAAGGCCCCAAAAAACTCAGTTTCTTCTAGCTACAGAATATTCTAAGTTGTAGCTATCTGTGCAACTGCAAACTTAACCCTTGCCCTGTGAAAGTATTTTTCCTCTCCTCCTGGGGTTTGCACATCTTAATCCCTCCAAATCTCTTTTTTCTTGCTTTCTGTCTCACACACAAACACCAAAGGCCACCAGGTATGCCCCTCTGTCACCCAATCTCCCCCAAACAGCACACCTCACTGCACAGGCCTGCTTCCACCAAAGCTGCAATTATATGAGTGCTGCCTAAAATGCCTTGGGCTCTTGCACCCCTATTCAATTCTCTCCTTTCTAATTACCGCTGCCTTGGGACAGGTGAGAAGTCAGGGCTGATAAAATCTTTTCTTTTTACCTGTAGCCAACACACACATCCCTAAATACACACAAACACCTACAGTGGGAGGCCAAGATACACACTCATAGTCACCCGAGGTGATTTTCCTTTCTAATTATAATCTTCCAGAAAATGTTGAGAATTTGCTTTTAGAGTTAAGATGTGTTTAGAGTAAAAAGCTTGGCAGAAGCTGCAGGGTTAGAGGGTGATTGAGGTCTTTAAGGTAGGCTGTTTTGGTTACATGCTTGTCATTTTAGGAAGTTGATTGATAGCTAATATAAATGCAGACTTAGATTTTATCGAGTTACAAATGCAAATCAAGATAAGAAAAAAAATGTTGTCTGTAGTAAACACAATTATGATACTGTGAGAGAAAAATGGATTCTGACATCATCTCCACCCTGATGGGCATCTGACAAGTTAATATTATTTATTACCAATATGTCCTTTATAAAAGCCATTAAAAATGAGAAATGGCTCCAGGAAATAAAGCACCAATGATGAATGGCTTGACAAGTGCATTCTATAAGAGGTTATTTGAGCAGTGTTGAAAGATATGCAGAATATCATGGACGCCTCACACAGCTCTGTGGGTCATCAGTCAGCCGTGGACCCCTTTTCGACTGATTGCTACCAAAGGTGACAACAACCACTTAACAGCACGTAAACAGTGTCTACATGATGATCTATCGCCACGAGTAGTTTGAGAGTAAAAAGAACCATTTGTAGCCATAATTATCGTTTATCACCGGCACCGTCAAAGGGGATCCAGCTGCACTGTCAAGTAGATACAGGTAGGGATCTTAACATCATATACCAGGGAAAGAAAAACTTTTTTTTCCCTTTGTCTCTCCTGTTATTCTGTAATCTGATCTTCCTATCCTCGGGCTCCAAAACAGGCATGTAGAGAGCAGGTGACACCACATTAACCTCTTCCGTCAGTGCTGAAGCAGTTGAAAAACGTAAATGAGAGGTACCAGATTTTAATCTTCGCTTCACGGACCATGTATTCTGAGCTATGCATAAGCACAGACAGCAGAGTTTCTCACATACAATGGGGACATGTGTCGCTTATTGACAGGTTGCATTCATGTACGGGGCAATCAACCGTGATTATTTCTCGACTGCCAACCTTTCCGACACACACCCTCCTAATACAGCCGCACACTTTTCCTCAACCCTCCTCCTTCTGTGCGTCTTATCTTTTCATATTGTTCTCTGCTTCGATACTTTTGCCGCTGGCACAAGTCTTAACACCGCGGCTAAGCTGCAGATTAATGATTAGGGCATTACTCTGCTTGTCTCTCTTTTTCCCCCTCTGGTTACACCTTATTTTTACTTTCCTAAAGCTCACTTATGCAAATTCTTCCTTCGGTGCCCATTCCAAACACAGCTTAACCAATATAGCACCTTGAGAGAACATAAAGAGAGCGTTCACCAGTGGGCTGAAACACAAACTCACCGAAAGCAGCAACTTTGATGAGGATCGCATGAAGGTCTGATGATATCATCTCAGAGAGCAAGGACTCTTGGTCTCGCCGCCACAGGTAGGCCAATGGCTGCAAACCAAGCCGCAAACATCTGGGAAACAGGTGAAGGGATGCAAACTGGTTAATACTGAATATTAGCCAATGTTAGAACAACTTCAAAGCCTACTTGGCTGGGCAACTCTTCATTTACGGGAAAGCTGCCACCCTGATGGGCCCACAGCACATGCTGCCACCTGCCACCGCAGCCAGCGGTTTTATTCAAGGAGAAAACACACACACGCACATATACACACACACAAAAATCCCCCCAAAAAACTTCATCTTAAGCTGTGGCTTGTCTTTCACATAAACTCAGGTGAAACACACATATCCACAGCAGGTAACTGGAGCCAAACTGTCTGCAGACAAACGTCTACTGCTCAAGAAATGCCTGAGCTGCTTACCTATATATTTGTGTGGGAAAACAATAGCTGACTGACAGCAGGATTTGTTAATGTGAAGAGAGCCTTTGTGTTCTGCTATGTCCAGTTTATGAAAATAAAAAAAAACAAGAAAAGTAGGATAAAAGAAAAGATAAGATAAGAGTAAAAGTAATACTTGTAGGTGTCTCTCACACGAGGGAACTATTTTTTCTTTCTCGAGTAAGAGCCGTGCGTCTACCCCAAAAGGAAAATGCACTTTTAAAATGATCAAAGTCACTTGGCAATTAGGTAACCATCAGTTTCAACCATCATTTCATTTAATTTTGCTCCATAAAAACAGAACCACTTCAAAGCTAGTCTAAATAACTTGACATAAATATAATGCAGTGCATGTATGTGTGTGTGTTTAAGCAAAACTCGCCCCCAAATTTGGAGCGCAGGGAAGTAAGAATGCAGGCGATGTGCTCTTTTCTTCAGTGGACATAACAGTGTGTCTCATATAAGTTCAGGGGTGCACGTGCACGTTGAACTAACAGTGTGTTCTGGATCGTGAGTGTGCACGTGGTCAACTTACACATTCTCCACCCGGACCCTCTGGTAATCAGAGAGAATGGCCCCTACTGACACCGCTTCGACGCCCTCCTTTTCCTGTGTGGAGCAAAAGATGGAGGAAACTTAACAACAAACATTTCTTGACTTTTCCATTATAAAGCATGTGCGATGTGCATAATGTAACAGCAATTTGATGTCACCAGTCTCTCGAGGCCAAATACCCCTTTCTCAAACTATAACGGTATCCCAAAGTGTTATCTGAACAAAACCACACACACACACAGATGTAAACACAGACACACAGAGACTGAAAGACACAAAGAAAGCAGATTCCTGACAGCTCACTCCTTTCATTGGACCGCAATCCTGTGGGGATGTTTACACTCTGGTCGTATCAAGGCCTTTACGGTCCAGCCCATATCCCCTGGAGGTTTGCGCACATGGCTCTGTGACTGAACTTGCATGTTTATGCTTAGGTTTGTGTGTGTGTGTGTGTACGTATGTGTGACTGGAGGCACCAGCACCACCAAAGGCAATTGCTGGACCTTATCAGTAGTCTAGTATAAGCAGGAGATGAGAGTGTCTGGCTGCAGCCTGCATCCTGTACACCCACAGCTGGAAGATGGAACCACAGTGACAACTTGAAGTATCAGCGGAACTTTGTGTCTGTGAGTGGCATGTATCTTTAATACTGCTAAGGGCTAATCTAATTGCTTTTCATATCATATTCATATTTCAGAAACAGTGAGACAACTATGCACTCGAGAGATACTGACACAGCCTTGAGATGCATTCAATCTTCTTACAGAAAAACAAGCTTGATCTGGAGTGACAAATACAAGCACACACACACACTTACACACGCACGCAAGCAAGGGCTACATGCTGACGTGCATACATACAACGAAATAAAGGCACAACCTCCGTCTCCACCTAAATGCCCCTCCCCTACTCAAACCCACCTGCAGATTCATTAGAACATTACATGGGCTGTAATTAGAATAAGAGGCAGGGGTAGAAGCAGTGGAGGGATGCACAAGTCTCCACTAAATTACCTTGTAGCCGTTATCAATTTCCCTGGCTACTGGTCCTTAAGATAAACCCCCCCCCCCCCCCCCCCCCCCACTACCACCACCACACACACACAAAGACACAAAAACACACACCCCTCCTTCTCCCTGTGGTCCCTTCCTGCAATTTTTCTCTGCCTGATAAACATGCTGATTAAAGCGAACAGCGTGTAAACCTTTGATACTTTCCTAAATGAAATCCATGCCCTGCCTGGGGCCTGATGCTGAGCTGAAACGCACTGTACCTCACACACGCAAACACACACACAGCTCCACAAAGGCGTGCCAGCTAATCAGATAAAGGATGTGCTCTGTGTGTGTGTGTGGCTTTGCGAATGTGTTTAGCAGAGAATGTGAGGAATAAAAGTGATGCTAAACACATACCACAAATAATCCTTTGACCTAAAGTTAAACACAAAGCGATCTTAAGAAGGCATTCAGCACTCCAGTATTGTTTTCTTTTTTTATCTCGCCAATCTGTTCCGCACTGTAATGTACATTTATAGTCAATCCCATTGCCCGGTGACAGTAATTAAGTCAGACTGATAACATTTCAGCCCAGCACAGAACGAAGGGGGCTGCAGGCAGTGCCATGTAATTCTAGGTAAGCCTCAAGGCCAGCACTCTATTCTAATGCAATGATAACCTTTTCCCTAAATGCAACTGTCACTCCCTAAAGAGGCAAATTAGGAGGTACAGAGTGGGATAAGAAGAGACACAAAGAAAGACGAAAAGATATCCAAATGAGAGTGTTGAAGAAGTGTGCTACATCAACACCAATTTGGTCCCTTGACTTTAAACTTGCCAGGACCTGACAGACTATCAGAGCATCAGAGCAACAACAAACAGCTTCGTCTCGCATTTCTGTCTCTCTGTCTCCCTCTATCTTGTTTCTCTCAGGAGCAAACTGTTGTAGGTACTTGGACCTCTGAGGGTCAACCTGACTAATTAAATGGCTTCACTTTTCTTTTCCATTCAGCCTTACAACCAGGCACACTCGCCACTAATGACAACACAAAAAAAAATTTCTCACACATCCCCTTGTTTTCAGTGGAGATTCTAACTACTAGACCATTTGGCAACGGCTTTGGGAAATGATTATTTTTGGAAGTGGTAATGTTTTTGTCGCTATTATAGCCACCGCCAGGAGACAGGCAGGAATGAGGGGGCAGCTAATGCTGCTCTGGATGTGATTTTATAAATTCTAGACATATTTTCTCATCCTCTGTGGGAGGAGGTAGGATAAATTATTGTGAAGAGGGGGTATATGTACATATAAATCTAAACTGATGGATATTATGGGAATTGTTCTATGTCTATTCATGACGCCATAAAAAAATCCAAACTTTGATTTTATAGTAGCTGAAAAATTTATCAAAATGGTTTATAGTGGAAATATTTGACAAAGCGACTAGGTAGCTCATGAAGCACAGTATAATAATAAATAATAATAAAATCTTTATGAGAGCTATCTGGCTAAACGATGTTTTGACTATATTAGAGGTGGGATCTGGGTAACATAATGATAAATCAAGGCAAAGGTCATGAAGAGGCCTGTGACCTACAAACCACTTCTCTTCCTCAGTGATTGTTGGCACAAGATCTAAAGAAAGAACTCCCTCGCTGCCCTGATTCAATGTCACTCTTCTTTTTTCAGCATTTAATGACCCTTGTTCATAAAAGGAAGCCTCACCTGATCCAGGACCTGAGGCCCTGTGTTATCTCATGCCCAGAGCAGGACTAATTCTCGCATGGTGCTGTGCAACAGTGCAACCCCTCAGCAGCTCCGTCAGAGGCAGACTAAACAAAAGCCTGGCCTGGCTTCCCCTGTCCTCTCCGGCAGGCAGAAAAGCTATTAATGAGGATCTATGGCCCAAAGCAGTGGAAGTCCTTAGTCCCCCCCAGCCATGTCCATCAGGGTACTTAGCCCCATGCAGTCATTAACTTCTGTTACTAATTGTCAAATTCATTAAACTAATCCTTCCCCCACATCCGGATGTCTCCCGTGGAAATGGATGGAGAGGGCTGAGTTATTAAGATGTCAGCTGTGGAGAAGATTAAGGCCAGCAGACATGCTCCACAAAGAAACGATACGGCCATTAAACTCTATATCAAGGTAGTGTGCGTGATATACTTTGTAATTATATATACATTCATCTTAGTAAGGGAGTGAAAGACTGCTTCAAATGTATTCACAGTCACAGACATGCCTTTGGTAAAGATATGTATCTGCCTCAAAGACAAAAAAAAATCAACTACAGAATTCAGCTATGATCTCAGCATTAAAGGTAGTAACCCATTCCACATTTTCATTCAGGGTAATATTCAACATTCAAAGCCATTAACAGCAACTAAAGCAATTAGAAAGCCATAAAATATTAAAAATTCAATAATCATATTCATATGGAATACATCAGAACCCTCATTAACTCGCTCTCAATGGCTGTCACAATGAGGTCTTAATTATACACCCTAACAATACAAAGCTCCATTTTGCAAAATGGTAGGTTTCCAAAATGCCCGATTGAGTCTGTTCTGACAGCCAGGAGTCCAGAGCTGGCAGATCTCAACTATTATTGACACCAGGCCACACGTTTCCTTAAAATATGCGCTTTTTATCAAGTCTAAACCTGTTGACACGCTCACTGTATAATATTACTGCCTGGTGTATGCAGCATTCCTGTCTGTGATAGCAGGAAGGTGGGGAAGTCGACAAAGTGGGGAAATTAATTAAAGTGGTTCGAATGACAGTTTGCTCAAGGGCACCAAGGTGCCATTACATGCTCTCCATTGCTGCAATCACACTGTCACATCGTCACCGTGCCTGACCCCAAGACCTCCAATCCCACCCCTCCTCTTCAACATTTCTTTCCCCTCTCTGTGTCTTCTCTTCACCCCTCTCTTCCTGGATCCATCAAGTAAGTGACTGGATGCGACATGGTTTTAATGTTCTCTGCATTAGCTCTGGGCCTGTTTCAGCGTAATGGGATTGTTCTCCCTTGTTCACCTGCATGGAAGGAACATGGGGAGGGGTTGGACCCTGTTGTAGTAGCTCAAATAGATGTCATACAGGAGATGGGGCTCGCTAGGGTCAAGCGGTTGTGTTTAATGTAATGTAGACACAGTCTTGGGGCGTGTTGGGCTGTCCTGACAGCGTAGACATGCCAAACTGACAGGAAGCTTAGTGTGAGCTTAGTAGGAGGAGACACTGCTTATTTGTTGTAAATCAGCTTCCTCATTGTCATTCCAACGAGACTGTTAAACTCCAAGGTGACTCCAAGAGTTGGTAAAGGAGAAATGGGATGCTGAATGGTGCACACAAGGCACAGGATATTCTTAATAATCGTTTAAATTAAGGTACACCCAACGTTCACAAAATCATATTCTGCTTATACAGTACATACTGAGTCTCAAACAACAGGTATGGTGTCTGATCCATCAAAACAAACAAAACGGACACGCAGGCTTAGCGAATGTTTTTGTAAAACAAACATCGGCAAAATCTCGTTCTGAAAGGCTTTCAGAGACATTCCCTTCGGTAAATTGGCAGAGCTCTGCATCTAAAACAGCTGTTGAAAGACAGGCTCTTCCTTTGTGTTTGAGGACGGTCTGGCAAGATGACTCAACACGTGTCAGTCTTCAACCATATAGAGTGGTGAAATAAGAAAAACAAAGTTCTCACAAAGCCAGCTGTTCGCAAAGCCAAATGCCCTGAACGGTTCCTGAGATGATGCAGGTCATAGTTACGAGAAGTGTGGAGAGGAAGCAGAAGAGGGGAGAGTATTATCCTCTGCTGAGGCCACTGTGCAGGTGTGACCAGGCAACAGAGGATATGACATGAGGCATTGTCTATTTAGCACGATGAGTGAAGGACGCTTATCAGTCGAAAGCCAAAGAAATGTGATGAGTGACAGCGAAGTGTGCACTGATTAGGGTATGGGGAAGAATGAAAAAGAAGCTGTTTTTATCCACGAAGGTACTAATGCTGCTTTTTATGGCTGAGCATGAATTTTTTCAGTTTCCCAG